TAGCTTTGGACTGAGCTCCTGCTCTGGGACAAAACAGATGAGATCAAAGCAGAAAAAATGGAGTCACTTGTGCAAAGTGCCATGTGATGAAACTGAACTTAGCAATGGGCCAGTTTTCAAAAAAAAAAACAGGGGATTTACTGCAATCAATCAGAAGAAGCCCAGTCAACCTGAGCCAGAGTGACAAGGAAGTCCCTCTGCATTAACCCTACGAGGAATGTAACTTTGAAATGACCAGTTTGCTTTTTATTCCTTTTTTCTGCCTGTAAAGTCCACGCCTTCTATTAAGCTTGAGTGCCTTTCTATTCTGAAGATAGAATGCTAACCGATTTATGATTCACTAATAAAAGCCAATTAGATCTTTAAAACTCAATTTGTTGAAATTTTGATAGTTAGATGATTACTAGGATATCAGGCCTTCTGGAGTAACCTCAGCCCCCGTGATAGCAGGACCACAGCAAGTCTTGCTAAAACACATCCAGGGACAAAGTTACTCCAGAGATTTTGAGCAGGGGGCTGGTGGCATAGCATTCTATGTGCACTGGAAATGTAGTGGGAAGGCTCTCTGGTGTTCATATTATTTGCATCCCCTAAATGTCACTTTGTAGTTTACAAGGTCCTTCTATATATATAACAGACATGGAACGGAACTTTCCTTTCTGTCCGGAAATTTCAGTTGCAAATCCCAAACAGAACAATTGGTAGCAAATACCACCCAGCATTCTTAGGAGAGATATCTCTTAAGGGGCTCATAAGAGGTGGCCAGATTGGTTCATCAACTATCATCTCCCCTCATTCACCTCCAGCAATATAGAGATTAACTGGGAAGAGATATTTTCTTTGCTGGGAAATTACAGGAGTGAGCAAAGTAGTGGAAAAGGGTGCTTCTGCCTTCCACCCCCAAAATAAGTGAGGGGGCTGCAACAAAATCCCTCAGAGAATTTGAAGGTAACTGTATGAAAGGAGACTGTCATCCTACTTCCTATCTGTTTGCTTTGTGACTTGCAAACATTTCCTGACCCTCTCCCTTCCCCCCTGCATGAGAGCATTTGGGGGGAGTTTGACATGAGCCCCCAGTGCTGGAGAGGCCCAAAGCCAGTGCTTGGCTCACACTGGAGAAGTCTGAAGATGCGAGGCTGGCTGGAACATCCCTAGGGCAGGGCAAGGAGAAAGGGGAGCAGAGGGAATAAGCTGCATTTGTGTTATTTGGAGGATGAGGGGGCAGCAATTCCAGTGAGCCACGTAGCTGCTGTAGCAGTAAGTTAGGCTAGTGCCATCTCAAACCGCCACCACCCAAGAAGTCTACCAGTGGGGTAAGCAGACTCCAGGGTGTGCTGAGGCCAGAGGCTAAGGGCTAGAGGGTCTTAGGAGGTCAGTGGGAAAATGAATCTCCTACATAGGCAACTGGTGCATTAAGGAGCTCCCTGAGAAATCTACAAAAGTGGCCAATGGCCACATGACACCAGATACACCAGTTATGCAAACCTCTGTCCTGTGTAATTTTGTCCTTTCCCTTCCTGTGGTTCTGGAGACTGAGAAGTAGGAAGAGGTGGAATCCTGCCTCCCACCACCCTGCAGGGCACTCCTTGGGCTTGAGGACTGTGGCGCAGGGAGGAGAAAAGTTTTGATTTACTTTGGACTGGACAGTTTAGCCCCTGACAAAGAGGTTGTTTTATTACCCAAAGTGACCAGAAAGCTATCAGTCAGAAAGCTGAGATACCCGGTTTAGAGAAGACAGCCTCCACAGAGCATATCTGAAGGCAGCTGTAGGAGGAGAACTAAAGCTGTTTTCTGATTCTACCCTGCTGAGTGACAGCTAATGTGTCCGGAGGCCTGGCCGTCACACACCTGCAGTCACGGGGGAATGAGGTTCATCTACCTTGACTTCTCTAAGTCAAAGGAGGTGTTCCAAGAGGTACAGGAGGTACAGCCTCTCGTTTTCCCAGTGCTTATGGAAGAACTGTTTCATTTTTCCCATAACACTTTGGTACAAAGGGCTGTAGATATTGCCCGTGCCTCTGCTAAAGGTGGGACTAAGAGGTAGCAGGTCAGGACTCCTTGCCTCTCGTTTTCCCAGTGCTTATGGAAGAACTGTTTCATTTCTCCCATAACACTTTGGTACAAAGGGCTGTAGATATTGCCCGTGCCTCTGCTAAAGGTGGGACTCTTTCACAACAGACTTAGGACAGTTTCCTGTCATCACCACAAGCTTTGGGAACCACCCAAGAAGGCTCCTTCTACCTCTGTGGAAAAGGAACAAGTACATTCATAGTTTAGACTTTTATGCACTTAGCCGATGAGGAGGGAAGGCATGCACTTTTTTTTTCCTGAGTGCACTCGGAGCAGTGATTTCACCAAGAGAAACCAAAAGAGAAACAAAACCGACTTTGCCTTCAAAGCAGGCCCGTACCTGAGCATGGCGCCAAATCCCTTCCTCTTTATTTTCCTTTCTGGGTCTTCATTCTCCTCCTTCCGCTTTTTCTCCTTGACTTTCAATTTGCCCTTTTCCTTTTTCTTCTCCTTCTCTTTCGCTTTTTTGACTTTCCTGGTTTTATTTTCTGTGTCCTCTAGCTCAGAGTTCCCCTGAGGGGCAGATTCACAATTCAGAGCTCCTTGGCCAGAGTGAGAGCTCTTATCAGACAGACCGTCTGTACATAGAAAAAAAAAAAAAAAATCAATACACATGGTCAGGGGCACTTATGGTGAGTATATAAAGGAAAGTCAAAATGTAAAATACAGAAGAATGAATAAAAGCACTCTGGAGTTCTACCCGTCCATGTGGCTACTTTATCCTTTGAAGATACTACAGCCTAAATCTGGTTACTTCAAGCCAGGGCTGATGCTGGGAGTGGGAGGACTGGTTGCTTAGCCGGTAACATGAAAGTCTTGATAGTGGTAAACACTGATCTCCCTGAAAGCTGGCTTGTTAATCTTGATCAGCTCAGAAAGCCCACATGCTGGGAAACAACCAGGGCAAGTTTATTTCCAGGAGAGGTTTTTGAGTACAAATATAACCCAACTGCTTCTACCCAATTAATGCAGTTAGTCCCCGTTGATGCTACTTCTAATGACTCCAATGAGAATGTTGAGAAATGCATACTTAGTGCTCCTACCCTAAGGGTAAATGACAGTTGGCCCTTGCAGGAAAATGAAGAACATTTCTTTAGCATTGCACTGTAAAATAAATTGCACATTGCGTCCTCCAATTCCATGTTCGTTAAGCCAAAGGGCAAAACATATCAGAAAAATGAATTACTTTTAATATCAAAAATATAATTGTGATTTTTAAATCGTTTTTCTCTGTAGTTAAGCACACATTCTTGCCTATGATTTGCAGATAATAATGAGAAGAAAAAACCATTTACGGAAGCATATTGCCCTACCAGCTTCTAATTCTTCAGGCCCATCATAAGATTTGTCGATGGCTGCTCTGAAGCTCTCGTTGCAGCCTCGGCCTCGAATCATATGTGGCCGGGGCCTGTGGAAGGGAAGTTCATTCTTCCTGACTTCAGCAACAGCAGTCTGCAGACTCTCCAAGGAACTGGACTTTTTCAAACCCAGAGTTGGACCAAAATCTTTGCTTGGAGATTCTGGAAAAGAAAGGGCAGAAGGTCACCCTTCCCCTAATAGGACAGTGTGGTATAATGGAAATGTTTCCTGTTCCAGGAATATTCCTGTTTGGGAATCTCAACACAGTGGACATTAAGTGAGCAGGAGTTGGGGTTATCTAGCTTTGCCGCTTTTTGTGAACTTGAACAAGTAGTTTGACTTTGAGCTTCAGTTACTTTTTCTAAAGTTGTAGCAAGATTTAAAATGACAATATATATTATATAGAGAAATTTATACGCATATGTGTCTATATGTACATGCACACACACATATATATGAATTTGAAAGGTGGTAGCTATCTAGAGAGATTATTTGTATGAGTGTGAGTGATTATATGTATGAAACTACACACAGACATACACACACGACGTGCATACACACAGATATACACACGCAGAGGCCTTACACAATGAGTGCTTCTGTCCCACACATTGTAGCTTTTATTATTGCCATGGTTATTTGTATAATTATTAAGAAAGATACTATGCATGGAAATCAAAAAACACTGAGGTGATTGTAATTTTTGTGATTGAACACTTTACCCTAGTGGCTATTAATGTATGGCAAATGCAATTTATGCAGTTAATAAATAAAGCGAAGCAAAGCAAGAAAACAACTTTTCTATGTCAATGCTATTGTTCTGAATATATTTCTATTTGGGTGTCAGAAAAGGGGCAGCCTTTTTATATGATATAAAATCATAAAATAGAAAAACTAAAATAGAAGTGAATTTTAATAATCTGTTTCCCAATATCTAATGTTTTTAATCTGTAGGGTTTGTCTTGCCCTGTACCTGCCCCTTCACTTCATTTCTTGACCTCCATTCCCACTTCCAGCCAGCCTCCCAATTATCAATAACAGGATTAGGCTTTATAAATATCAGCAGCACAAGGATTATTTTAAAGATGGAAAGAATTCTATCAGGGCTCTTGTTTCCACATTCGGAGCTTTTCCACCAGCCAAAGCTCGTGTCCCTCTCTAGTTACAAAGGAGATTACTGTCATGAAGATGCTACATTTACATTTCTGGAAATAAACTACAGTACAGTTTTTCAACAGATATAGGTTGAGTACATATGAAGGATTATGTACATAAAGTACCTACTTCCATGCCTAGCAATGCCTAGCACATAGCAAAGCTCAATAAACTGCATCAACTTTTATTACCATCAGCACCATGTTTGCTTCTTCTACCACTGCCACCATGAACACTACTACTAGTTGCTTAATACAGCATTGGGTAATACAAGGAATAACAAAGAAGCACAATAAAGGCCTAACGCATACATACACCAACTAAAGTGCAATAGCAATACACATACTTCTATATGTTCTGATTATGTTAAAAACAGTCAAAATAACGAGAATAATGCTAATAGCTAATGATACATGGAATGCTTCATCTGTGCCAAGCACTATTCTAAGTGCTTCAACTATATTAACTTACTATAACACTTACAGTTGTGCTATTGGCACTTCTTTTAGCCCCATTTTGCAGATGAGGAAACTGAGGTATAGAGCAGTGAAATAACTTGTCTAAAGTTAACATACTTAATAAGGGTCCAAATTAGGAACTGACCTGAGGCAGCCTAACTCCAACTTTTTCTGCTCTGTGTATATACTTTATTGCCTAAACAAATATTTGGTCTCTACCCTCTACTTGATTAGGGTCAAGCTGGCCCTACTTAAACTGGCCTACATTCTCCTCATCTCTAAAATAAGAACATTAATCTAGATTATCCCTGGAGCTTGGTCAAGCAGGCAAACTGCAAAAAGAGGATATTTCTTTACAGTTTCATCATTAACTTACAGGAGACAATTTTGCATTTTGAACAATACCCATGAAGATAATAAACACTGCATTTTATAGGTGACAGTGTATATCCAAGAGATGAGATTAACCAAAAATATTACAAGAAATTTTGGGAACAAATTTTAGTTGCTACTTTCAAGTCATAAATACTGAGGATATTATATCCAGAGAGAGGCACATTTCTTATATTCCCAGGAAGGAAGTCAAGTTGAAGAAACAAATTGAATAAGATCATTTCTGACAAGAAAACAAAAGGCAACATAGAGGTTTGAGGGTATTGAAGCAACAGTAAAAGCTTTGGAGTTTACAGAAAATATTTTACACCATCAACCCTTAGGGATGTTTGACATGAAGTTTGGTGAAAACATGAAGATGAAAATTATCTGAGAAAGCCTCAATCCTCTGTCAACAACAACAATCATCTTCCATTTATTAATTGCCATTCAGAAGATTATATTACAGCCCAACTGTAAGCATTCACATCAACGTTTAGCCATAAATTCCAGAAAACATGAAAATGAATAAATCGTCTGAAATATAAGGCATGTTATCAAAAAGAAGCTCATTTAAAGCTCAGCAAGAAGTCATATCTGAGAAGGAACAAACACACTGTTACTCATTCTAAGCAATCTGAACATTAAGGATTCATGGATTTTGCAGGAGTAATAGAGCTGGCAATTAATTCACTTTATATAAATAGAAGTCACAAATTAGAAGCACCAACTGACGTTGGGCAACATTACAACCTACCTCTACTGGATGTAATACACAGTAAAATTAAAAGCAAAAGGGCAGCTGAGTCCTAGATTGCCAATGTGGACTCAGAGGTTGACAAACTTGGAAAAGAATTTTGTATTTATTCCTGAGGAGTAAACAGGATGTAGCAGTGGAAGAGAGACTGGTGTAGAGAGGAGTATCCAGAATCAAGAAAGACCTTACAGGGATTTACAGGTTCAGCTGACTGACTGACCTGGATCTCCAAGTAAAAGGGTACTCTGACAAGGACCTTCACTAGGGCTCCCCATGTCCTTTAGGTGTCTAGAGTCCTCTGACTGAAGGTCAAGGTTATTGGTTGTGGGAAGGATTACTTTGTCAATTGATGGGCATCAGTGGTACTGACTGACTGACCTGGATCTCCAAGTAAAAGGGTACTCTGACAAGGACCTTCACTAGGGCTCTCCATGTCCTTTAGGTGTCTAGAGTCCTCTGATTGAAGGTCAAGGTTATTGGTTGTGGGAAGGATTACTTTGTCAATTGATGGGCATCAGTGGTAAATTCCAACAGGACACTTGAAATAAAGTACCCTATATCACGTAAAGATTGTGTGGAATACAACAATTGTCACGTACATTTCCTCTTCCCTACTCTTACTCTCACCAATTTCAGTTTAGGTGGACATTGCATAGGAAATTTTACAGCTTTTAGAATGAGAATATTCACTGTCTATTTCTAGCCTCACCATTTACACAAGTCATATTTTTTTCTAGGCTCTCACTTAAAGTAGAAGGCTCTTTGAAGGGATAAGGTAAAGTGAGTAATTTATCAAAATCCAAACTTGATCCATTGAAGTTACCCCAAAATATAATGACTCTCCACATTTTGATCTGTAGGTGATGTGATATTGACTACTGCTGATTTTAAGCAATTGTTTGATAGAGTGGAGCTATGAATACCACACGTTATCAGTCATGGGAGGTATCTTGTCCAAATTTGAGCATTTACTTGTCCTGTTTTGAGCATCTAAAGAGCTAATCTGAATATGACTGTTCAATGATTTCTAGGCCAGTTTAGTTTAGTTGCAAATGCCAGGGAACAGATCTTTTTCCAAACTTTAGTAGCAAGGCTTTATTTTTTAACCGATGACTTCTACATCCAGTGACCATGTTCTCTAAGATCTAGAGGAACTTATCCTTCCCTCACAAACATAAACTTAACATATAGGAACTTCATTAAACAAATGATACAACAATTATCAAGGGTGCTAAAAGAAGGATCCTACATGATAAAAATTATTCTCAAGGTGGTAACATAAAAATATTCTTAATATTGTGTGTCAAATTTTCCCTTAAGAGTAAGGCCTCATAAAGAAATACCACTGAAATATATGTATATTTTAAAGATGTTATAGCACTTTCAATGATTCCCTCTGTTCCCAAATAAAGGATTGGCTTGACTCGGACCTGGAGATCTTCCCAGAAAAGTAGAGGGAAATTACAGGGTCATGTTTTCTGGACCCACCAATCCTCAGATGCATCCAGTTACTCCCCTCTATTCCCCAAAATACAATGTTTTGAGAAGAATGGACACACACACCAAGACTAAAGATTTTAAGGAGCTGTGCTACCATTTCTCCTCTGCGCATAAAGGAGGTGGTGAGAGGCCTGAGAGGGAGCTACCATCTAGGTGGAGAGGAGCCACCAGCAAAGAGATTCTTTTTTTTTTTTTTTCTGTTCTGTTGCAGCCTGTGGTGAGTTCCCTTTTAAGGAAATTGTGCTTGAAAGGCACGTTTAACTAAATATGACACCTTATAGCATTTACCTTTTACTCTAAGTTTTGACCTTTCTATGTAATGGCTTTTTACATATTTGCAGATAACCATTATGCATTCTTAAATTTTCTTTTGCTTAAAATGAACAAACTATGAGGGGGTCTTTAAAAGGAAGAACCCTTCATGGAAGGATTCATACTATATTTTAATTCTATTTCTTCACGAGCTTCTTGAAGTCCCCTCATAAACAAACAAATTGTGATTTGTTTGACCTCTTCTGGTCATTGTTTCTCTTGAAATATTTTATTAATATTGCTGTTGGACATTTGGGATATAGCCATGAAGAGTCAGCAATATTCCTGACAAATTAATTCTCAAACCAATTAAAATGAAAATAAATTCTAATTAATTTCACGTAGCTCAGTGTCTATCTTGCTAAGGTCCGAGGCTGGAAATAAATTAACACTGAGGAGAATTCAGACTCTGAGCAAGGGTGAATTTTAACTGGAAACAAAATACAATATCCATGCTTGTTGTTTTCCCCAAATTTGAAGTGGATACAGCCTGCCGCAAAGATGGCATGGGGAGTTGCCCACATGGAGTGATTTTAGGCAACCAGTAAGGACTATTCTGCATCCAAATTTCCTCTCTCTATAAGTTTAGCTCCTTTAGTTGCAATGG